TTGGCGAGAACAGTTAGGATAAAGCTGTTGAGTGATGTTTGGATGCTTCTTACCTACTAGGCTAAGAGCATGTAGCGTCTTGCACTAGAATCACATCATTTAAACTCTTCCACATTTTTTCACATTGCAACTATCCTAACTCTCTATGCATTTCAGTGGGCTTTATGTGATAGAGCAACACAATAAAGTGCATGACTCTAAGGGGAAATTGTTTTGTCTACTAATTTTTCTCTTAGAAATAAAAATCCTAAAGATGTTGCTGTTATTTGAGTAAATACTTTGTAGAACAATATCTTGCTGCATTTATAGCTGCCAAGCTATTGGGGTATGACCTCTGCACCTTTGCACTTTAAAACACTGAACATTTTGGTTATTCAAAGCCATAAAATTGCTGAGCTTTTGTGAAAATGGATAGATAACATCGGTGAACATCAGTTTTTACATTTTTTCACAACTTCCAATGCAATAGGAAAATCAAGTCTGTAGAACAGTATTTCCACAAAGAGTTTCTTCCCCTGGCTTTAACTCTGATCATAACAATAAACAACCAGATTATAATGCCACTTCACTGTGAAATAGAACTCTTTTTTTAATAGAACAAAGAGGTCTGCATTACATACAAATATATCAACATATTTCTTGTTATTTATGTCTTTCTCCACTTTTAATTTTTTTATTTCCAATGTCTGCTCGCTGAGTTTGTGGAACCAAATTGAAATTCCTTATTTCAGTGCAGAAACTCAGCCAATAAAACAGATTGTGATTCTGAAATACACAGTGATTTAAACCCTTCCTCTTGAGCTGAACCTCTGCTGTAACCTCAAATCTTTACAGCGTCTAAAAGGTTTTCAAGATGGTCCTGTTGAATGTACCTCATCAAACCTTTACCTATAACCATAACTTCCCTAATGTGCCTCAAGAATCCCCCCAGCAGCACACGTGCAACACCAAATTTCAATTTGATTTGGAAAAGCTTCCTGGATGGGAAGCGAAATGTCTTCAAACTTGGAAATAAAGTAGAGTGGATTGTATTATTATTATTTTACTTTTTTGGTATTTCGTGGAAAAAACAGTGTGTTTAGGTTGGTGAGCAGTCTAAGTTATAGGGTCCAGCTAGGACCTAAATTTAATGAAAAGGCCATCTTGCCTGTTTGCATGTTTAGATGGTTTGAGAAAAGCAATATATGGGACTTTATTCTATGAAATGTTTCTTTATATTACCCCACTATAAAGGGTACCATTTGAGTGTATATCTATGTTATTGTTAAACAGCATATTGTGCTTGTGGAAGACAGAAACACAGATAAGATCATGACATTATGTCAAAGATTATAACTTAGAGCCTTCAAAGAAGACATGAAGGAAAAGTTGGTGAGGAGCACATACAGAAAACAATCTGAGACTCGATTTGCTCCTGGAAAGCCATGCCAAAAGATAAGGAGATCGTTAGTGGCTTGTAAAAACTGGGAAGTTATAGTCCAGTTGGCCTTGATCCTGAAAACCCCCCCTGCTCTGCAAGTTCTGGGAGTGGTTCTGTTCCAGCAAACTTTATTTTCATGATTATTTAACCTCCTCAGGACCCCTTTCATCACATAATCATGCAAGGAAACACCTAAGACAGGGTTGGGAACCAATGGTCCATGACAAGGAACTAAAGAGGTTTTTCAGGGAAGCAAGACTAATTAGCATGGGTGATTCTAGACTGGTGCCTCCATAAAACTGGCCCTGGCCCCTGTAATAAAGACCTAATAATACATTCATTTCTTACGAATATACTATACACTGGGACATGATTAGGGCCATTGATTTTTTTTCTTTTTATCATCACACCTTTATTTCAGCAATGATTTTACAATGAAGATGTTGCACGTTTACATTCAGTTCGCCGACTGCAGTTATTATAGGATTAGGAAAATAACTTTTATGTTTCAAACTGGTTTTATATTTAAAAAAAGATGATACCTGTAAAACAATAAAACTGAAATAGCCAATGTTCTTGAATATAGATGAAAAGTTTGTAGCATTGTTAGAGGCTGATTTTTAGACCTTTAAAGAGTCAAAGATTGGGGGTAAGATTGATTTCAAATATCAACCGGTCTCCTATCTCTAAAAATCTGTAAATCGGGGCCGATAAACCAGAGCATCTAATGCCCTGTTTTTTTGTTTCATGCTTTTGTTCTTTGTACACATGAAAAAATATTGCTCCCCTGCCCCCCAGCAAATTTGGTTTACAACCACCACTGCTAATAAGCAAAAGAAAATGGACAAATAATTCAGGGTAACTAGAGCAGTACAGGTAGAAAAAAGTAAATCAGTCATAATTAATATGGAATAAGTTACAAAAAAGTGTTTAACGTCAATAAGACAGGAATAACCCAAAACATGAGAACTCAGATTAACCCAAACTTGAAGTCCAGGCAATCAGGACATTTGTCTTAAAACAGATCTTCCCACCCAAACGTTGGATCTTTGCAGCTCCTCCAAAGTTACTCTGGATTTTTGGTCAGCTTCCCTAAACACTCCAACATGGCTGAACCAAAAGGTTGAATTCAATCAGCAATTGTCATTCAGCTTACTGGAGGATGCAAGTGATCCTAATGAAAAACATGGAAGTTTGTGGTGTTTCTGTGACAGAATGGTGACCTGTCCAGGGTGTAGCCCACTTCTCAGGGTATACTCTCTAGACTGCCAGAGATAGGCCTGATGGAATAAGTGGGAGAAGATGATGATGGATGGATGGATGGATGGATGGATGGATGGATGGATGGATGGATGGATGGATGGATGGATGGATGGATGGATGGATGGATGAATGGATGGATGGATGGATGGATGGATGGATGGATGGATGGATGGATGGATGGATGGATGGATGGAGGTTCCTGGTTGTAAGTGCAGTACTGTCAAAAAGTACAAAGGATAGGAAAACCTTTATGAGGCACTATCTTCTACAATATTTTACGTTGATTTAATCCATGCTAAAGTATCCTGCTGGGATAAATCCTTTCAGCTAAGACAAAAGTGGCAACAGTGAGTGGAGAAAAACTCTTGAGAAAAATCCTCAAGGAACGGCCAGCAAGACAAACTTCACCCTTAATGGATACCAGCAGGACTGGCTTAAAGTAATTCCAGTAACTTTTTGCAATGTATTTTTTGGTTGCATGACAATAAGACACCCATCTTCTGATTTCTTCATCGATGCATCCTTTATATTTCATTTGTTTTCCTAGGCCTCCTCCTCCTCCTCTTGCACAACTGTTGATTTCTGTTCCCTTTATATGTTTGATTTCCTCATGCAGTTACACAACCTTTTGGCGGCTAAAAAGTTTCAGTTTTCTCAGCAGCTTTGATTGACAGAGGCCTGAGCACATTCTGAATGTTTGTGTGTGTTTGTAGAGGCTGCATGTGTGTTTTAACCAACCTGTGTCTGTTTAAAATTTCATTATAGTATTGGGCCTTTCTTCTCAGGGATATTTGCACATGATGGGGAAAGCTTAACCTCTACAGTGTCTTCCAAAAGTATTCATTTGATTTAAACATGGAAACAAGAAATACAGTTCAATGTATTTTATTGGTAATTTATGGATGACCGACAAGAAGAAGGACATTATTAGGAAGTGGGAGAAAAAAAATCTAAGAAAAAGTGTAGTTTCAGCTTCAATGTATTCCAAAGTGTGTCTAATTTCATCTCATTATGTACAGCTGTTCGAAGGCCTCAGAGGTTTGTTAGAGGAAGCTAGTGAACAAACAACACCATAACCAAGGAGCCCAGCGGACAAATGTGGTTATATTTTAATCCATCCATAAGAAAAAGTAGTACAGCATGGTCTGTGACCAAAGCACAGCAAAGCAAGCCATTTTGCAGCATTAGGAATGAATGAAATGCAGATGAAAATTTTTTATCTGAACGAAGAGCATTTTCTATTTTGCTGCAGAACTGGCAGAATGAAGACAAATAGCTTTAACCAGAACAAAAAGAGGTCCATTGTGTTAGGGGAAGAGCTGCAGAGATACACAGCTCAGGTAGGAGAATCTGCTAACCTTCTGCATCACTTATAACTTATCATCCCCTTAAAGACAAATATTTAAGGATCTGTTGTAGCCTGCACAAAAATGGCATGTGGTCTGAAGAAAACAGAACAAAAGACTGAGATGGTTTCTATCAAAAAATATTTACTGATAAGAAAAATCGAGTCAACTCTAAGGCCTAAAGTGAAAACAAGACAATTAATATTTAAAGAAATATTGAATTTACCAAGGGGAGTTGGGTTAAAAAAGTTTTCATTTACCTCCAAATAGTCATAGCATGTTAATTGATAATAAAGAAAAGTCCTTTTCATCATTTTAATGTCTTGAATATAAAAAAAGAATAGTAGACTAATTGGGTATCAATACTTTAGTAAGAAACTTTATTTAAATGTATGATTTAGAAGAAAAAGAGCTTTAAGAGGTTGCGAAATAGTTTTTTGCATTGATTCATCAGAGGAAAGCAGGCACACATGCATGCATCCTCTCAGACACAGGGGCCATGTGTTGACTTAAGAGTTAATGAATGGATGATTGAGAACTGCAAGGGCTGAGAAAAGCAGCACCCTGGAAACATTTCCCCAAGAAAGAAGCACATAAGTTGAGTTAAAGACAGAAAAGGAAGAAAAAATGAATGCTTCACACAGACAGAGGTAATTTCTGTATGCAGAGAGAGGGAGAGGGTCTGCCTGGGGGGATTTTGGAAGAACTGGAAAGCACTAATAAAGCAAGTAGCATGTACTTGACAAGGACCCAAGGGGTAAAAGAGTGAAAGAGGAGCAGCTGTTGGAGGAGGAGAATGAGACAAAGGAGGAGAGGGGGGCTGTCCTTGCTTGCTCTTCACTCCAAGGTCTGTATGTGGGAGGAGGCAGTGGGAGAGCAGGAGCAAGAGGGGGAACCAGGAAAGAAAAGAGCACTAAGCAAAATGTTTGGCATGTAAAAACACACACATCTTGACAGTTGTGTGTTGTGCTCCTCTGTGTTTTACATCTTTGTGTCTTTTGAGTGGACAATGCTGCAGAGGAGGACTGTTCCCTGGCTCTGTGCTCTCCTGCTGGGGATAATGGGGCTTCCAGCGTCGGGCTCTGACTTTCAGCATCACCGATATGAGGACATGGTCCGAGTCCTTTTTGCAGTGCAGAGCGAATGCTCCTACATCACTCGCATTTATAGCATCGGGCGCAGTGTGGAGGGCCGCCACCTCTATGTGCTGGAGTTCAGTGACAACCCAGGGATCCATGAAGCCTGTGAGTAACACCTGATTTATTGTTTGGCTGAAAGGATATAGAGGAGCATTTAACAGGTAGACACAAAAACACATTTTATAGGATGTTCAGATTCATTTGCATTTAATCAAGGTAGAGAAAATGTCAGTGATTTTTGGTGGAGCATAGATGATATTCAGAGCACATTCTGTTCATATGCACTTTTTGGTGTTGGGACATAGCTGGCAGGAGACTGAGCAGCCTGTGCGAGGATTCTGGTTTTATCCCAAGGAGATAAAACAAAAGCCTCCAGATTTGGCTTCATGAGGGTAAAAAGAGAGGAGGGCTTTAAAAAGCTGGCGTCTTTGATAATCATCAGTGGAAATCCAACAAAAAGAGAAAATAAAAAAGCAAAAGAACTGAGCCAACATCTGTGTTTCATCTCAGTTTTTCTGCCATCCGACCTCTGACAAATTGTGTGGTGCAATTCAAAACTGAGTAGATGACTAATAGGTTCATTTTGAGTCAACATGGGTTTAACCCAGAGCCTACTTCTGCAAAATGTTTTGCTTGTTTAATACCCCCCCCCCCCACACACACACACACAAATACACACACACATACACACATACTCATTCTGCTATATGTAGTGAGGACCATGTGTGTCTCCCATTGACTTCAATTGATTTTCAGTCATTTTCAACCCTTTCTATGCTCTAATCTTAAAACTAACTCTAAACCTAACCATTACCAATGCATACCTCACCCTAACACTAACTAACTGACACCTTAACCCTGCACCTAACCATTAGCAAAGTAGCATGTGAGGACCGGCAAAATGTCATCACTTTGCAAAAACTGGTCCTGAATTTGGTGAAATTGGAAAAATGGTCCTCACTTTGAGGGTTAGACAGGTACACACACACACATACACACTCACTCTCTCCCTACACTCCAAATCAACTCCTTTCTTTATTTTGCTCATTGATTGCACATAAAAAACATCTAAACCATGACCACACTGCACCTCATATTTGTGGGTAAAATGCCAAATGATTATACCACATGTCAAACATGTCAATTTTTTTTTCTTACCATTCCTTCATTGCTGCTTAGGGAACAACTTAAGAAATAGCCTGATATCTGCAAAGAATGCTATTTTGGCCATGACTGAGCTTGCATTTTTTTTCAGCTTTCCGCTTTTGTACCCGTAGGGGCTTCCTTCAGTAGAATAGACGGATGTGTGCCTGCTCTGTCGCAAGGTTAAAAACAGGAACTGTACACTTCATGACGGGGGAGTGACCTTAGGTTCTTGTCTAGGTCAGCCTTCTTTTTACTCTTTAGGAAGTTTGGTTGGTTTGTTTGCTCCTGCTGCTTCTATCTACGAGTGGTTTCTGAACTCACTGCTGGTTGTCATCATGGTAAAAATAAAGAGGGGGTTTGCACGGTCAAACTGCCATGAGTGAGAGATAAACAAAGAAAACACACAAATGAATTTGGGAAAAACAGCAATGCACACAACAATACTTGATAGCTGTCAGTTTTCAGTCACGGTGTTGGCCTAAAGTTCCACTAAATGCAGGTCTGGGTTTCTCTGCACTTCAGGAATGATTAACGAAGTGACCCATGGGAGGAGGGAAATCTATCCAGCGGACGGGGTTGTTTGGATTGGTTGCTTTAAGATACCAACGAGAATATCAGATGACCTCTGAAATAACACAAACGGGGAGAATCACTTATTGGCCTTACATTTCTCATTTGAGAAGCTTAAATTTGTCCTTTCTGAAAAAGCTTTTTTGCCATCAACAGTAAATTCACAGAAAAATATCTACAGCTGCATTCTTCATGTCTGAACTTTGCAACTTTCTAAACTAAGAATCTGTGATAAAGTCAAATAAAAAGTCTTTAAACATCATTTTGGGCATTGACTGTGTTCTAACAATGATTGCTTGACATCAACCAATAATTCAATCCCTTAGAATGAGCTGAAACATGTACCCCACATATTTATAGCAGGAAGAACAGTGGTCTTTACACTGCAGTGTAAGTAAGTCCATTTTCCCTAAAGTACATGCATTTTTAAAAAACTGAGCAGGTAAGTGGGACACTTGCCAATGGAATAAGTAAATTTAAATAAGAAATAGGTACATATGCAAATTCCACTGGCAGATCATCTTATTTACCTACTTAAATCGAGGGAAAATACAATTGTTATATGAAATTTTACTCATTTACGAAGCGTAGTAGTTTAATAAACAAATCTTTTCAATTTAGTACATTTCCCATTTCAAACATTAAATGGGGGACCTAAGAACTACATATCTGGGACTCAGTTAATGTTGTAGGGCCTGTGTCCCAGGATCCAGGATCTGCATCTATAATCCAAAAACAGGACCGTTAATTTGATCCTTTAAGGTGACTCTAGGTATATGTGTGTGTTTGACTGGTGATCGGTCTAAGGTGTAACCTGCCCCATGTTCTGTAGAGTTAGGCACCAGCTCTCCAACAATCGTGTGAAAAAAGGTTTTAAAGGCGGATATTCTATACCCACATGATTTGAATTCAGCAATGTTATTGACTCATATGGTACAATTATGTGTATTTGTTTTTTTCTGGACTTGAGTTAAAAAGGCACTCTAATTTAAGAGAAAAAAAGTGCACTACTTTTTTTAGCAGGCTAAATTTGAAACATTAAGTTTTAAACATATAAGAGCGTATGCATGCTCACGCATGTCTTCTTACTCCCTCCATTTTTTCAACTCTTCTTGCAGTGGAGCCAGAGTTCAAGTATGTGGGCAACATGCATGGCAACGAGGTGCTCGGCCGCGAACTTCTCATCAAACTTTCAAAGTTTCTATGCGAAGAGTACAGGGCCGGAAACCAGCGGATCACAAGGCTGATCCATGACACACGCATCCACATCCTGCCCTCCATGAACCCTGACGGCTATGAAGTGGCAGCCAGACAGGTAATGTAAACACTGGTATGAGTGTGAGCTTTTTTGCTTCTAGCACCAAAGAAGAAAAAACAGAGACAGAAATCCCCCTAAGGACCCTCTGTTTTTCTAATCCAGTCATCTGCTGCCTAAGTAGGAAAAAAAAAAGTTGTTTTTGCCAAAAATGTCAAGGATCCATTAGTGAAACAAAACACACATGTGCTAAAAAAGCACAGCCCTCAGTCTTAAGATGCAGTTTGTTTAAGTCTATGTGATAATATGTTAAGCCATATGTTTTAAGTTCAAATGACTGCATTCAAGATGCAACTCAGATCCAGACAATAGCAGGTGATTTTGATCCCAGCGTTTGCTCATGTCAGTAAGTACCTAAGGAAAATCTTTTCCAGGTAATTGTGCATGGAACCACAGATCGCATACAACCCAGTCTGACACAAACACTTACACACGTGTATGCAATCTCTTTGAGACTAATTATATGTCCGGAAGAGAGCTGCAGCACATAGCAGACAGCAGACCTTCTCTTTACCAATCAGAGTGCACAGAACTACACTATAATTTGGTGCTTAACAGATGTTTGGATGCAGCAGCATCTGGACATAAATGTTATGGTTGGTTTCCCAGCATCATGCTTGGTATGATAACGGTTAAACATGAATAACTTTACTTTATGGAATGGCAGTAGGGTTCTCCTTACAGGTTTACTGCTTTATGTCGTTACTGCAGGCGGCTCAAACTGCAGTAAATTATTAGCTGATTTTCTGCTCCAATACTTCCTGGAATAAAAGTCTTAATGATGAGCAATTGATTTGGTTCAGATTTGTTGGAACTAGGATGCATCTAAAAGCTGGGAGAGAATGACTTTAGTATGACTTTATTATAGAATGTTGTCCTGGTCACGAAGCAGTGGAGAAACTCAGGCATTTACCACCACAGCTTTTTCCTGAAATGTTGGTTTGGCTGTATGTTTGTTTCGTCATTCTGCAGAAATATTTCTCAAAAGTCATGGACCATCACATGGACCATCACTGTGGTTCATGGGGAAGGTGACGGGTGCATTTTTGTTCCCTCTGCTGCCCTAGACCTTCATGTCAGTGACTTTATTTTTCATCTGTTCTTGTTTTTGTTTTGATTCGGACGTGTTGTTTTGCTTTTTGAGATCTTTTAGCCAACTTAAAGAGGCTAAAAGTTCTTAATAAGCTTGATTAAGTACGTTTCTTAATTTACATTTGTGCTTCTGTGTGGATAGTGAAATCAAACCATGAAACGTTATTTAACAAGGGATACAAACAGATTGTAACATTGGGCAGAGTTATTTCAGACTCATTCTTAATGTATAGACTGAAAAATTTTTGTTCATCTGTTTTTATTTGTCTGACTTTAGAAACCAGTCCCTGGTGTTGGGATCTTCTTCATTCCTTTCGCCTCAGAAGTAGACAATTTGTGGTTATGTTTTCTTTTTCAATAAGCCAAAATTATTACCAAAAATTACCACGTTTTTACAAATAAAATATTGGGTATAGTAAAAAATTTTTTTAAACCAAAATTGCTGTTAGCATTATCCCTAATAGTCTATTTTATAGTAAATAGTACCAGCTCTATCCATGAAATTGAAATGACTTATATAGTAGTAAGAATAGTAGTCAAGGCATTTAGTTGCTTATTAAATGCTTATGAACACATATTTACAGTTTGGTATATTTTCAATTCCTAATGTTTCTTTTAACTAATTTGTTACCTTTATCCTGTTCTTTTATCTAAATTATTTCCTTATTTCAATCAAAGCCAAAATAATTCATAATCTAGATATTTATCTGCTGAGGAAAATGAGCATAACCCTAAGCTAAGTTTCAATTTTGGCATGTACTTTTTTCATTTAAATATTATATGTTTAGTTTTTAAGCAGACTAAAAATAATTGTATTGTTAAATATGTTTTCGTTTTTTTGACATTTGAGCTCCTTTTACGAAATAATTTTGGCCAAAAAATGTGGACACCACTGATTTAGGCTAACGTCTACCAGCGATACACTTCAAACAAACACTAAGGAGATCAATTTGTTTGTGTCAACAGGGTCCTGAACTGAATGGATATCTGGTGGGTCGAGGGAATGCCAGAGATATTGATCTGAATCGAAACTTTCCAGACCTGAATGCACTAATGTACTACTATGAGAAAACAAATGGAAGAAACCACCACCTTCCGCTGCCAGACAACTGGGAACATCAGGTCAGTGTTAATGGATGATAACTGTTTATGTAAGAAGACAATTAAAATCATATAAGTTCAGTACATAAAATGACAAATACTGTAAAAAAAATTTCATAGTCTGATATTAAATCAGACTAAACTGCACCAAGTGCAGAAATCCCCCTGCAGCAAAACACCAAACAACATGATGCTACCCCCACCATACCTCTGTTTTCATTATATTTGCAAGCTCACGCTTAGAAGATTCACCTCTTCTGATAAAAAGAGAAAGTAAGAATTCAAATGATCCAAACAACTAAGTAGATTTTAAAGGTTTTTGTCTCCAAACCTCTGCATTCAGGAAAAGTTTGGTCTGAATGTAGTAGTTTCTGTAAATATCCTGTTTCGACTACATGCATACATTTGTTTTTTCTTTAAATAAAAGCAAATATGGCTGGTAAAGATTGGACACTGAAAGGAACTGAATAGACTTTGTGTGTGCATGTGCTGAACAACTGTGTTCATTTACATAGTTGGAGAACTTTGCCCAGGATTAAATTTCTGCTCCAACTGAGTTTGGCTGACTATATAAGGACCTGTCCATAATTATATACAGTTACTAGTAAACACTCTAGACAGAAGGTGTGCTTTATATTAAAAATCTGTTGGGTAACCTGTCTGCACACAGTTTAGAAATTTAAAAGTATGCTGTGGGAGAATAAGAGTTTCTGTTCCTTTTTTCTTTACCTGAACTGGAACTGCATTTTTTTTTTCCAAAAATACGAATATACTATTTATGTTGACTGAAAAGAACCCCAGATCACAATTTGAAAAAGATTAACATTGCAAGTAGAAAAGGCACATCTAACCTTCCTCTTTGCTAATAACATTTTCTCATATGCTGTTCATTTATAGACATTTTTAGAAGCAACAGACACAGGCTACAGGCTTGTGAATATTATCCTTATTTTTGAGAGTATAAACTGGATTGAATTTTTAGAGTAAATACCATCATTCAGGTTGGATTTAGAAGACATGTGGCTTCGTTCCAGGTGATCGAATGGCCTCTGTAGTTCCCCCTGTACTTGCTTTAGGGCACTTGAGCGTGAAATGAACAGTAGAGGGATTTATAAAAGCATGTGCTGTCAAAGTACAGCTAATAGTCTGCCAAAAAGCACGTTTCTAGTATTAAGGTCAGGTCCTTTGGGGAGCCTGAACTTCTCTGCCTAAATTCAAAAGGAAAAGGCTGCTGTTCTTGGTTAACTCCTTTAAAGTCCCCCCTCCCCATCTAATGGATTTCTGTTTCATCAAAAATACCACAGTATCCATCCGCCTATTGTGCAAAGCCAAAAGCAAATGGTGCTTATTTCTAGTTGAGAACATACCTTTGAAAATTGATGATAAATGAAGCTCAAATTATTCTAATAATTATAATAACACTAAGTTACTCAAATGCCAAACATATGGCAACAAGAATACATGACTTTGCAGAAACCAGGCCTGTTTCTTCATTTTGCTGTCTAAATTCCAGCATCAGGTTGTATTTGCTGGTTTATAATTGGCTGCTGAGTCGGTTACTTGATATTGTTTTTTATTAAATATTACAAAACTATGAAAAAATACAAATTTCAAAAGGACTGTTGGTCATATCATGATGAAGCTATATCATGTTAAAAGTATAAGATGAATATTAAAATGAATCAGATAACTAGGTTTTTCAGTGAAAGTAATACTAAACTATAACCATATTGGGGAAATAGTATATGGTGCCTCATCTCTCCTATTTAAACGAGTTCAGCTGGAAAGCTTTACCCTTTTGTGTTTGAATGTTGTCCATTACTCCCATGGAAATGTGACCATTTTATTTTTTTTTCCTTTTTTATCCTGATATTTCTTATTAAAACATGGTTTGGAAAAAATACAACTATCCAAAACTGCTCTGGTCTTATTTAGTGGCCCCTGGTTTTCACAGCCAACTGCCTGTTGACAGGAAGACACAACCGCGCCACTGTTATCACCATGTTATTCATGCTGGTCAGGATGACATTTACTGACAACATGAAGCCCTTCTTACTGTAGTATTTAGGCAAAGCAATGCCACATGTTGTAATTTTAGTGTGATTTTGCTAGAAATAAGTAGATATGTATCAAGCCAGAGGATTTCCATGACGTTCATTTTTAGAAGGCGTGAGGTTGTTTTTGTCATGCTTAAACAGACTCTTTTTCACAGATGATCATCTCCCACTGTGTCTTTGTTGATCTAAAGTTAAATTTTGTTGTAAATGACATTGAACTGTAGGTGTCCAGGCAAAGATCTGTGGTCAGACTGCCAACAAATTACTGCCCTCTTCCATTTCCTCCAGTATGGAGTAGCAGGTTATGGAGTGCAAATATACACAGAGAGATGTAATAATTGTAACGTTACCTGTAATTATGGAAAGATAAGTGCAGACTGGTTGACATTCTAGCTTCTTATGGACTGCAGCAGTGAGGGCCATCTGTTCTGAGCCACTGAAGGAGTGCAGGGAGCTCTGACCACAAAGGCAGGGGAGTAACAGACCCTGGAGGGTAAGGGGCTGTTTTTACTGGATTTTAATATTGTGCCAATGTAAAAATAGCTATATTAAAACAGAAACACTTTAAGGTTAAAGTATTACATCTGTTATGTGTTATATGTGTTAAGATTCAATAATATTTTTTTTAATATTTATATTTTAAATTTCACTTTAAATTATTTGAAAACTAGGAAAACCAATGAGATTTCCAGAAGGACTAAATAATCCATCCATATTTCCCTTTGTCAATCTGTGTATCCGTCCATCCATCCGCTCATCCAACGTCCTTCCATCCGTGCGTCCGTCCATCCATCCATCCATCCATCCATCCATCCATCCATCCATCTATTCACCTCTTCATCCATCTGTCCATCCATTCGTCCATCCATCCATCCATCCATCCATCCATCCATCCATCCATCCATCCATCCATCCATCCATCCATCCATCCATCCATCCATCCATCCATCCATTTCTGGATAGGTTGCCACTTTACTACAGATTTTTATAATTTTTTGTCAATTTAAAACCATATAAAAATCAGCTTCATTGCACACAAACATGAACACTATGTGAACTTAGATGTGTGATAATTATAGATGATTGTGACTCGAGGGTAGGACAGGAAGATAAAATAGACTAAAGCAGTGAAGCAGACTGACTGACTGACTGGGATTCAGTGTGTAATGTGAACTGAGCCATTGTTATTCTGTGGGTCACAGCCTCTTTCCTAAAGTCAAGGTCCATCAGTTTGTTGACAACTTCTACTTTATATGATGTACCGACATCACTAAAGGTTCACAGATACGTTTAAGTCATCCTGCTTGGTTACATCTACTGTAATGTGTTCAAGGTCAGTAGTAACAGGGCGGCAGACTGTGTTTATTGTTCTACAGGCTGTTCCCAGAAAGAGCGATTACATGATGCAGGGCTGGGAGAGAACAGCTATGTTTTCCACTAGTCTGGAAAATAAGTAGAAGCTCAAGGTTGAGCTTTAATCTTTTGCATTAGAGCTCCCAAAGAACTTGGAGAAGCTGAAATTGTTAACTCCCATTTCTTTATTAATAAAAATGTTTTTTGGTGTAGACTTTTTTAAAGGTTTCTTATATCCTAAGGCTTTTTGAAAGCATGTTTAATTTTTCAGAGGATTCATTTTGTCTACCAAATGCTGTGTCTGTTCTGCAACATGTTCTGCTGCATCGATAACCGGTTATTTTAATTACCATCAATACTGTTTCTGCTAAAGTATTTTTAAAGAGCATAAACATATGACTTTGTCATGATCCAACCACAAGATTCAATTAAATACCAAAAGAAAAATAGAAAAGAAGTGTATAATTATGAAATGGAAGAAAAACAAGACACAAAGATGCACTTAATAAATCTAAGCTTTTTTGAAAAGTGGGAAGAAGAAATGGATGACAGAGAGCCATGAGAAATCTTGTTTCCAGCTTGCAATAAACAATGTTTGGACACCCCAGTTTTAAGAAGCTCTTGGGGCGCGCAGGTTGGCGCAGTGGTTAGCGCGCACGACCCACGTAAGGAGGCCTTAGTCCTCGATGCGACTGACCCGGGTTTAAATCCTACCTGTGGTACTTTGCCGCATGTCTCTCCCCCTCTCATACCCCCTTTCCTGTCATCCTACTGTCAAGGAAAACGAGCCACTAGTGCCATAAAATCTCAACCAAAAAAAAAAGAAGCTCTTGTCAAATGACTCCAAAATAAGACATTTAAATCTATTTGCAATAGATTTAAACATAGTTAGAAGCATCATGCTTTGGGAAAGCTGATTATATATTTTATATGTAAAGTAGAGAAAGATGTATACATCTACAAAGCAGCGAATCAAGGTGGCTAAATTATAATGCACCTCTTTTTTTTCATCATTCTCTGTGTTGGTAAAGCTGGAGCATCATATGCAGTTTTGCAATTTATTGTATTGGAAATTTAGTAAATATATATTAAAAGTACTTTCACCTTGTTTTTGCATTAACTTGCACTTCTCATTGTGTTCCAAGCCTCAGCGTCTCTTTTATACTTTCCCTTCATAGGTCGAACCCGAGACTCTGGCCGTTATAAAATGGATGCAAAACTACAACTTCATCTTATCGGCCAATCTCCACGGAGGAGCAGTGGTTGCCAATTATCCCTTCGACAGGTCGAGAGACCCCCGCATTCGAGGGAGGACCACATACGCTGCCACCCCAGATGACAAAATCTTCAGGCAGGTGTGCAGCTGGTTAAAAGTTACTTCCAGATGTTGTACATCTGACATGGTCTCACTGTTATCTGTTCATTTAAATGTCTGAATGATGAAGAGCACATGCATTTGTTTGTGATGGCAGTTGGCTCGGACCTACTCGTACGCTCACAGCTGGATGCACAAAGGCTGGAACTGTGGAGACTTCTTTAACGAAGGGATCACCAATGGAGCCAGCTGGTACTCTCTGTCCAAAGGTAACCAAACCTTCACTCCCAGACATGAATAAACCCTTTTTATATATTTCTTCTCTTGTTGGTAAGCTCTTAAATATGCATTCTCTTATTTTTTTAGCAATAATTTGCCAGATTATAGTTTTTAATCCATGTGTGTCTTTTCTGCCATGGATTATTTGCTTGTTTCCCGGTGTTTTCCTATTTATTCATTGTTTTCCTAAAGATTGCTCGTGGACCTTTGGTCATTGCTTTACAGCTTGACACAATCCTTTTTAAGCTTTTTTTCTGATTCAGCAAAGAAAAGTTTGATAGATTATCACTTTGACTGACTCATCATTATCTGGTTTTAAACCTTTTAAACTTTAGTCTGTTTGGGTCGTCCATCCTGTAATATTCCAGGAGTAAAAAGTTAAACTTCTTCTTCTTTTTTGTTTTACTTTATTTATTTAAAAGACATCAGGCTGTGATTAAAGGCAATAAAATGTGTAACCTCTATGTGTGGAGTGTTGTGGTTAGCGGTTTACAAACATTTTGAAGTAATGACCAGAAATAATATTGTCTCAATTTTACAACTTTCAGCTGTACAAAGGGATAGAATGTGCAGCAGAAGGAAGGAAGTATGGGCAGGACCTGAAATTAAATGATAAAACTACCGTAGGCTTTCTTTCTCTTTTGAATCAAAGTCATTGGGGAAATATGTGGTATAATTACTTTTGTAATGCTTTGTTGTGTTTGCTTTAAAGCATGATGCACATAAAGCAGCAATGCTTTATTCGGTTTAGTGATTTCAAATGTTTCTGGTCCAGATCTGCCTTCTAGTTCACAAATAAAGAAATATCTAGAGCTTTTTCATCATCTTAACGACATTACTAAAGTGAGAAAAATCTTTTTCAGGATGATGCAAAGAAACTTATTCATATGTTTGTTCCATCTTGGCATTATTAGCTTTATCTGAGCAGCTTTTTGCTGGTTTCTCCACCTTTACTCTGAGAGATTTCAGCTGATTCCCCCCAAAAAACCTGCTGCTTGTTGTCTTACCTGGCTTGCAGGTATTATCCAAAAAGAGGTTCCTCACGTCCAATAGTACAGGGGGCAGAATTTCTTTTAAAATATATATATTTTTTTTACTCATTCTCATTGTTTTATTCTATTTTCGATATTTGGTATTATTTTGTAATATAAGATCCTCTTGTGTTGGAAAGCGTTTTATATAAAGCTTGATTTAATTTGATCAAGCACTATCTTTTGTTGTTTGTTTCTGCTCAGACATAGAAAGACTAATGACAAATATAATCAGATATTTATGCATGCGTTTAAACTGTACTGAGGCATAAGAACAGGTCATTTAATCTACAATGCTTTTGAACAGTTGAGCTATACAGCTATAATTTCCATTTGAAACCAAGTTCAAGTTTGGTGCCATAAAAGAAAACAGTCAGTTATGCTGGAAGAACAGTGATTGTAATCATATTGCTTACTTTCTTTAGATGAGACCTTTAGGGTTTCATGTTTATTCAGTTGATCCATACTGTAGCCATAACATTACCCACCTCTTTGATGTTGTAAGTTGTAGTCTGGGGTGTCTGGTGTTTCTTTGGAATGTGAACCTGCAGAGCTTTACAGTTGGGTAATGCAAGCTTTTGAATAGGATAAAACCAGCCGCAGTCTCATTTAGCAAGACTATGTTATGTTTAATTTGACAAGTCACTTTGCTCCAAGTGTTGTGTCATGGTCTGTGAAGTTACTTTTGAACTGTTCCCTTCTAAGCCTTGCCTTGAATGCATGAGCTTCATCACAGACATCAAAAGGAACAAGAAGTGGCTTTCAAAAGCTTAAATAGAGAAATTAAAACAAACCCAGCTCTGCAAAGAAGTATGTGGCTGCTTACAAATTATTTTTATTATTTATATATTTTTTGCATTTGTTGCCATAAAAGCATTTCAAATCAATAAGATTTTTTTTCTGCTGCTATTTAGAAAGAAAGGATTTGACTGTTCTGGTTTGCATCAACGGGCATCAGTTTTCTCTAATAACTGTCACTGAACAGTTTACAGGCATGGGTCGGCATGAAAGTCTGACCATATGATTGATAACTTCAAGCAAAAACATAACGGAGTCATGGAATCGAAGATAAATTTATATCTATATATATATATATATATATATATATATATATATATATATATATATATATATATATATCCTCTATAACTGTAGTTGACTTTAATGGTCTGAAAAGTCCCTTCCTTCTCATAAATTCTCTGCAACAATTTCTTGTTTTTTATTGACCTAATGTATCACGCTTGGAGTTTTTGTGTTTTAAATTACAAAGTAGTGTTTAATGTAAAGCATATACACTGCTCAAAAAATTAAAGGAACACTTTGAAAACACATCAGATCTCAATGGGGAAAAGAATCATGCCGTTTATTCATACTGATATGGACTGAGTTTATGTGTTAGGAACAAAAGGATGCCACATCCTTTAATGTATATGATAATTATCAACTTACAGAGGGTTGAATTCAAAGACACCCTAAAAATTACAGCGGAAAAATGATGCGGCAGGCTAGACCATTTTACTAAAATTTCATTGCAGCAACTCACTTGTGTATGCATGCCTGACAACATTGGGGCATGCTCCTAATGAGACGACAGATGGCGTCCTGGGGTATCTCCTCCCAGATCTGGATCAGGGCATCACTGAGCTCCTGGACAGTCTAAGGTGCAACCTGGTGGCGTCGGATGGATGGAAACATGATGTCTCAAAGGTGTTCTATTGGATTTAGGTCAGGCGAGCGTGAGGGCCAATCAATTGTATCAATTCCTTCATCCTCCAGGAACTGCCTGCATACACTCGCCACATGAGGCCGGGCATTGTCGTGCACCAGGAGGAACCCAGGACCCACTGCACCAGCATAGGGTCTGACAATGGGTGCAAGGATTTCATCCTGATACCTAATGGCAGTCAGGGTGCCGTTGTCTAGCCTGTATAGGTCTGTGCGTCCCTTCATGGATATGCCTCCCCAGACCATCACTGACCCACCACCAAAACGGTCATGCTGAATGATGTTACAGGCATCATAATGCGGAGATGGGAAATGTGGAGTCAACAAGTAATCTCCATGTCATGTGTTTAATCTACCTAGCCAATTAACCAGATGAGTCCAATCTGTACAGGTTGATTCACGGTGAAGATTGGACTCACGTGCTTCAGTGGGTGGGTAGAACAAATACATGACATGGAGATGACTTGTTGACTCCACATTTCCCATCTCTGACATAACGTTCTCCACGGCTTCTCCAGACCATTTCACGTCTGTCACATGTGCTCAGTGTGAACCTGCTCTCATCTACGAAAAGCACAGGGAGCCAGTGGCGGACTTGCCAATTCCTGCGTTCTGTGGTAAATGCCAATCGAGCTGCACGATGCCAGGCAGTGAGCCGGGCCCCCAGGCCACCCTCGTGAAATCTGTTTCTGGTTGTTTGGTCAGAGACTTTCACACCAGTGGCCTGCTGGAGGTCATTTTGTAGCGCAGTGCCCTACAAAATGTAGTGGCAGTGCTCCTCCTGCTCCTCCACGCACAAAGAAGCAGATACCGGTCCTGCTGATGGGTTGTAGACCTTCTACGGCCCTGTCCAGCTCTCCTGGAGTAACTGCCTGTCTCCTGGAATCTCCTTCATGCTCTTGAGATTGTGCTGGGAGACACAGCAAACCTTCTGGCAATGTCACGTATTGATGTGCCATCCTGGAGGAGTTGGACTGCCTGTGCAACCTCTGTAGGGTCCAGGTAGTGCCTCATGCTAACAGTAGTGACAGTGACCCTAGCCAAATGCAAAACTGGTGAAAAAGAGTCAGAAAGGATGAGGAGGGGAAAAAATGTCAGTGGCCTCCCCCTGTAAAACCATTCCTGTTTTGATGGTCGTCTCGTTGTTGCCCCTCTAGTGCACCCGTTGT